GTGAACAAGTAATTTATTGATGGGTAAAATTAGGCTCACACCACGGGACAATTAGCACTAATCCATGAAACTTGGAAGCAAATTTGACCTAAGCCACCATTCAAGTCAAACTGGCTCTCAATTATTTGAGGTGTTCTGTGGGCACTTCTCTGTTTACTCATTGGCACAAAAGGCTTTGGCTGTTGACTGTGCAGTGAAGTATACCAAGCCAGGCTTTAATTAGGTTTTCTGACAAGAGTCCACGTGAGCTTTTAATTTAATAGTATTTATTGAACACTTAATATCTCCTAAACATCCTTTTAAGTGCTTTGCCACATGCCTGCAGTAGTTTTATGTATTTCTCAATTAGCAAATGAGAGCCAGAACTCCACAGGCACTAAGCAAAGTGTTCAAGGTCAAAGCGGTGGCAAGAAGCGAGCTAGTGTTTGATGTTTTATGTATTTCTCAATTAGCAAATGAGAGCCAGAACTCCACAGGCACAAAGCAAAGTGTTCAAGGTCAAAGCGGTGGCAAGAAGCACGCTAGTGTTTGACTTTTGACGGGTCAACATCCTGCCTAGCTGAATAAAAAGCAATCCTGCATTTCCACTGTGGAAGTACTAATTTTCTCCACCCCAATCCCACACTCGGGGTTGAATCTGAACAACTTGGTTACTTTACTCACGGAGGGAAATTTTGTAAAAATTGTATTCTTATTGTGAAACCCATTATCCTTTTCACCTCATAGTTATTATGATGTTATAGGGAACTTTTGAATGGTTTGAATTTTACTCCAAATAACTGTTGGATGTCATAATATTATGGAAATCCATGTGAAAGATTATTTTTAAAGAAGTTTATTGATAACTCAGTAGACAGGTAAAGACGAGTCAGGTTGTTATTCATCAATTGAAATAGAAACTCGATTTAGGGGAATATTTAAGGTATTTGATATTATACAGACAATTACAGGCAATTAACTGTATATGATAGGAGACTATCAAGCAATGTATGCCTCCTGCCCTCACTTGCTTAGCATGTTAGCAGTGATGGGAAAGCCAGAAGAGGTGATGTGGAGAGAATAAAATTACATTGATTATAGATCATAGAATTATACTTAACAGATATGTAGCTGACTTTGTAAACCTTGTTCTTTCTGCCTTATTGGCAAAGACATTCTTGGAACATCAGACGCCAGTTTGTTTCTGTTGCTCTGGTTACTCTTTTCAAAATACGGAGAAATATCTGCATTTTTTTATGTGTATGAATGTGTTGCCTGTATGAATGTCTGTGTACCACACAAGTACCTGTGCATGAGGAACCCAGAAAAGGGGTTTGTATTCCCTACAATTGGAATTGCAAACAGTTGTGAGCCATCACGTGGGTAATGGGAATTAAACATGGGTCCTCTGCAAGAGCAGTCAGTGCTTTTAACTGCCTAGCCATTCCTTCAGCCTCTAATAAGGCAACTCTGCTAATCATTGTAACAAAGTTATAAATTCTCTCGACCTGTTGGGGATGGAGCCATCCTGTGTTATGCATTCACAGGATACAGTGGATTATGAGTTGATTGCCTGTTAGGAATTGATAATTCAATGCTACTGGAGGCATCTGAGTAGAGGGATTGTTTTTCTTCTTCAGTTAAGTATAGGGTGATGACTACATTCCAGTATCCCAAGCTTGGTCAACAAAGGTATTTAAAATAAAGGTCATTTCAAGGGCAACTTTTCTTTTTCCAAGTGGAAATTGAAGATGCTTCCTGAGTTTCGAAACAGGAGGCAAAGGCTAAATCCCATTTTCAGCATTAGCGCGTTTTCCCTTGAGTATTGCATCTGGCTGGAATGGGTGGGTCTAGAAGCACCAAGGTTGGCATTAGCTAGGTTATTAGAAACCTCTGATGAAATGGCCAGAGACAAGTAGGCCGGTCCTCCTGGCCTGGTGTTCTCTAGAACAGCACTCTGGATATAGGGAGCTTCGGTTTAAACATTAGGACTATTTCTTTGAGAATCCCCCAACTTCCTGTTGAAAGTTTATTTTTAGTAAAGATTTACTTCTTAACTATCTTTTCTTGATTTTTTTTTTCATTGTAAGGACTGAATTTGAACCTGAGACCTTTTGCGTGCTAGAAAAATTCTTTTTTTTTTTTCCCCCCGAGACAGGGTTTCTCTGTGTAGCTTTGCAGCCTATCCTGATACTCACTCTGAAAACCAGACCAGGCTGGCCTTGAACTCACAGAGATCCGCCTGCCTCTGCCTCCCGAGTTCTGGGATTAAAGACGTACACCACCAATGCCTGGAGCTAGAAAAATTCTTTACCATTGATGTGTACTCCTAGCTCCTTCCTGTCAGTTTTTTTTTTTAAATTGTAGCTATAACAGGTACTATACAATAAACATAAACATTTTAAAATAAACCTCTCATGGGTTTATGCTGCATCTTCAGTACTTACTAGTATCAGTCTGGAAAAATCAAATGAGCACAAACTTCAAATCCATAGCCACTTAGTTTGTTTGGATTCTGTCGTTTGATGGTAATTGTGGAAAGTGATGATATTTGTTCATCATTATTTGAGCAAAGATAACCTCTACCTTTCTTTTTTTCTTTTCTTCTTCTTTTTTTTTCTGAGACAGGAAAAAAAATATAGCTTTGACTGTCCTGGAAAACTCACTTTGTAGACTAAACTGGCCTTGAACTCACAGAGATCCACCTACCTCGGCTGGGATTAAAGATGTGTGCGACCACACAGGCTTTAGATTTCTTTTCAGCTTTGGTTTATGCCATTAGTAGAATGGCTTTTGACACTGTGGTATGCTGAGCTTCATGGAGAGCTTAGGCCTAGCCAACCCTGTTCAGTCCAAGCTGGCTTGCTTATCTAAAGCTTAGAGAAGACCGTGGGAAGAGAGCTGGGTAACAAGCTTCAGCAACATCAAAGTGCAGATCTCTGAGTGCTTCATGAAGGGTGCACTGGAATTCAGGGTGGTGACTATGTGAATGAAGTCACCTCAGATCATCTAGGAGTTCACTTCTTCCAGGGTAGCACAGAAATCTGGAACTCTGTGGCATGCAGTTGACTTTAAGCAAGTGATGGAACAGCCTTCCTTGAACCAGAAGGGTCTTTCAAACTTGCCTCTTTAGCATGCAAAGTCTGACTACAGTGGGTGGGAGGCTAAGTACTTTCAAGCATGAATTCTCACCCCTAGGCTCTTCCACTAATACAGAGGATGCCAAGCTCTTCCTTGCTTTTCTTTCCATGACACTAGTGGCAATTTATTAAATTAAGTAGATCGATAACTCAATTACTTATCAATATGGGAAAACACTGGATTACCTTATTTTCCCCCTGGAAACACAAGGAGTATTAAGAGATAATATTTGGGGCTGGTGAGATGGCTCAGTGGGTAAAGGTGCTTGCCACCAAGCATGATGACTGATGACATGAGTTCAAGCCCTGGAACCCATAAAGTGGAGGGAATGGACTCTTGCAAGTTATCACCCGTGGACGTTCTAGGCAAGGACTTTTCCAGCCGAATTCTCTTTTCTTAGTCAGGCTGGTCACATCTTTATATTCTCTAATGTGACCCCTATCTAGAGAGATACTCCTTGCGACAATTACACCCAACTTTTAAAATGAGCAGAAACTTTGTCCTCACTCTAAAGTTTTTCTGATTCTGTGACTTTCTAACCCAGAGCTTCTGTGTCCTGTGAGCAATTCTTCTGGGCTCTGTGAAGGACGCTGCCTGAATGCCACACTCCCATCACATCCTCTCCTACCCCTTCGACCTCCAGTGCTATGTGTTTCTCCCTGTTAAGTTTCAGTGAACTTTCTATAAAAATGATGAAGCTTTTGGTTGGTAGAAGTCTTCTCTTGTTGTGTGGCAAATACTATGTGTGCACCCTGGAAAATTTACTCCAAGTTTTACATCTTAGTTATACAGATTTAAATCATAGTTGGGTAAGATCTTGAAGTGTATTAGAAGCCTGTATAATACCATTCAACACGGTAGACATTCAGTTAGATTTCTGGCTGGTATCTATTTCTGTTCTCCATTGACACACAAGAGGAGTGGGGCTTTGAATTAGTGGAAGACAGATTAATTTCCAACAGATTCTTCTGAACAGAGGTGATTAGTATAATGCTCAGCACAGGGCATTACAGTGCATAATATATTACAAAATGTTTCCCTTTTTTTCTTTGAAGCTCTTCATCAGCAGCTATTGTAATTGAGATGAGTGTGATGTCTCACACTTTGAAAAATATGGTAAAATGTCTTTACTTGTATGAATTTGTGTTCAATGTGACTATCTAGAGAAGTGGTTCTCAATGTGTGGGTCATGACCTCTATGGGGGAGGGTCAAATGGCCCTTTCATAAGGTTTGTCTAAGATAATCAGAAAGCACAGATATTTACATTATGATTCACAACAGTAGCAAAATTACAGTTATGAGGTAGCAATGAAAACACTTTTATGCTCGGGGGTCACCACAACATAAGGAACTGTATTACAGGGTCCCAGCATTAGGAAGGTTGAGAACCACTGGTCTAGGACCTGTACTTACACTGATTATAGATAGACAGAAATAGACTAATATGAATATAAAGCCTAAGGCTTGGTGTATATAATTGGCAAGGTCAAATTTAGGACATGTGCCATATGTGTGAATGTTGGTATGTAGGGGTGTCCAAGTGCCTCATGGATTTCCTGGAAGGCTATGGTATGAGGGTGCAATGGCATTGGTGGTAGTAGTAAAGAATGCTTACTCTTTTGAACCCTGCTTGGAAGTCTCAGCCCAGGGCCATTATCAGCTTTATTGATGCAAGTCCACATAGGGTCCCTGGAGCCCCTTTCTTGACCTCTGACATTTAACTCTTCTTTCACCCCAACATATTACAGAAGACAGAGGGCTCTTGGCTGCATTTGCCCTGTCAGTAAGGGGCCTTTAATCTGTTTTAGCATGAAAAATTTATTAAGAATGTACTATTATTTCATCAGTGAAATCCTCAAATTTTAAATTAAATCCATAGGTCTGGTTTAGCAACCGCCGTGCAAGATGGAGGAAGCAAGCTGGGGCCAATCAACTGATGGCTTTCAACCATCTCATTCCGGGGGGATTCCCTCCCACAGCCATGCCGACCCTGCCAACATACCAGCTGTCGGAGACTTCTTACCAGCCCACGTCTATTCCACAAGGTACCTAGGAAGAAAAACAGGATGATAAGGATATAACTCCCAACTGCTTCCCATTGGCTGATTTACACAGTGAATTATGCCTGTGATGCTGTTGGTGTGCCAATCATATGACATTAGCTTTCCCTATGCATACCTGCCATGTCTCAGAAGCAGTTTGTGCTATATTTGAAGTTCTTTAGATAAAATGTGCTGTGATGAAGCACTATTTCAGTGTTTAAAAACAATGCAACTTTCCCAAAGAAACATGGGGTCGCCCATCCCCCTTTTGTTAAAAACTAAGCACTGTATTTATATTCCTGGTTTCATTCAACTGAGGTTCAAGGATCATAACTAGTTGCAATAGTAATTCAAGGAACGTAAGCTTTGGTAAAGTCATAATTTGTTAGGGCAAGAGGGAAATGGGATAATGTTAAATTGTAAGACTATTATTTTAGGGGTGTTCAAGACAGTGTTTCCAACATTCTAAACTCTGATGTTCTATTCATGCATTAATGCTTTAAGAGCACATTTGATGAGAAATTTGGAACTTGTAGTGATCATATTGTGTTCACTACCCAAATTGGCTTGTTAGTATTGCTAGTGTAGTATCTGTGATCATATTCCAGGTGTGTGTGACCTGGGAGTTTATGCCAAGATAGATAGATGTAACTTATTTGTTGGGTGGTTTTGCAACTGAACAGTAAGAAATACACTTGGAAGTCTGATAGCATCTGACCAAATGGGTAACTACTAGTGGGAACTTTTGCATTGAACTTGCTCTGCTGGCCTACCAGAGAGCATCATGGTCTACTAGAGAGCATCATGGTTGGTCCTCTTCTTTGTTTCAGCTGTGTCAGATCCTAGCAGCACCGTTCACAGACCTCAACCACTTCCTCCGAGCACGGTACACCAAAGCAGTATTCCTTCGAACCCAGACAGCAGCTCTGCCTACTGCCTCCCCAGCACCAGGCATGGATTTTCAAGCTATACAGATAGCTTTGTGCCTCCGTCGGGGCCCTCCAACCCCATGAACCCCGCCATTGGCAATGGCCTTTCACCTCAGGTCAGTCCTGTGTTTCTAGACAGATGATTTGCCGTTACCAGAACCAAATAGTCAATTCCCTGAGGCAGCGGTAAATGAATTGCCAAATGTAAACCATAATGTATTCTTTATACAAGCCACATGATTTCAGTTTTCGAATTTCCTTTCTTTCTTCCCTTTCTACTGGAGGCATCAAAAGTTATAGCTTAGACTTAAAATTCAAGTGACTTCTAATGCAATCATGGAGACTCTGTGTTTATACTTAGCTGTCAAGGCATTTGTCCTATGCCTTCCCTCTCCTTAGCTCTGAGCTTTGGTTGAAAGTCCCCAAACTTGCCAGGGTTTCTTTTCTTTTGGCTTTTGTTTGTTTGTCTGTTTCAAATGGTGTTTGGTCAGCTGACAGAATTTTGAGGAAAAATCCTCATCAGAAAACACCCAAGCTCTGGCATAACAATTGGAGAGGAAGCAGAAAAATTTGTGTAGAGAGAGAGGGGGAAGTGAAGAAGCAGAGGGGAAAAAGGAAAGGAGAGAAGTGGGTTAGTAGGAGAGGGAGGAGGAGAGGAAGGGAGAAAAGGAGGGAGGCAGAGAGAGAGGGAGGAGGGAGAGAGAGAAAGGGAGAGAGAGAGAGAGAGAGAGAGAGAGACAGAGAGAGAGAGAGAGAGAGAGAGAGAGAAAGACCCAGCTGAAGACTGCAGAACCTGGAATGAATGAGTTATAGGAACACAAATTAGGAGAATTGCTAGTCTTTGGGACTATATAAATATTTGGACATTGTAATTGTTTTTCTAATTTGCGTTGGACTATGAGTTTTTCTTGGGGGATTGCATTAATAAATTGCCCTGATAATTGCATGTCAGAAGGATAGTTAAATTTCCTACACGTGGCATCTGTCTGAACTTGACATTATTAGTAGTTGTTTAAATACAGATAGCTTGATTTTATTAGAGAGAGAGAGCAGTTGGCCCAGGTGGCAAGGAGAGCCACCCACTAAATTTGGAGAAATGTCACAAAGGGATTGCAATCTATAATTGCAATCGAGGATCTCTTTGGGGCCGAGAGTGAGAATTTTAACAGCTTTATCTTTTCTCTACCTCTTTTCTCCTCTTGCTGGTTAGAAAAACAGAGAGAAACTCAGAATGACACAAATGAAAAGTGAAAAGACAATTATACTCAATTACACACTAATCACGGGCTATCACCGCTGCCTAAGCACTGAGAGGGTATTCTAATAGGCAGAAAATGAGATTTTAATGGCACAAAGGGTGGCCAAAATAACGACTCATATATCTTTGCCTTCCCCAGCTTCTTCAACTTGTGGTGTGCGTCTTCGGAGTGGAGCTCTTGGGCTCTGTGTAATGGTGATAACTCCGAGCAGCTGAGGAGTTCAAAGCCACAGGAGTTGAAAAGACTGGATGGCAAAGGCAATGAAATAAACATTTCCGCCTCCAGGCAAAAGTTCATAAATCCTTTTTTGTAACAGTAAATGTAATTAAGTTTTATAGATTCCTATAGCACATCTTGGGCTTAAAAAAAAAAAAAGTAAGAGGTGGCTTTAAACCCTCAGCAGGAAAATAACAACATGAAAACAATGGAAGCCTTCCTACAGGACTTCCAGCTCCTTTGATTTCCAAGTCCTGGCATTTGGGGATGCGATTTTACATGACAATGACAGGCTTCCACTAAAAGAGCCAGCTTTGTAACACTCATTTATAACCCTCAATTCCTTGTGTAGAAACTTCTTCCAGAGTTTAGAAGCAGCATGTAAAGGTTCAGCAAGTTTGAACATCAGCCAGTCACTTGGGTGCCAGAAAACAGCTTTTTAGTTTTTACTCATTTACTTTATTTTATGTGTACTCTGTTTTTGCGTGCATGTATGTCTGGGTGAGGATGTCAGATTCCCTCCATAGGCGTTACAGGCAGGTGTGAGCTGCCATGTGTGTGCTGGGAATTGAACCCAGGTCATCTGGAAGAGTAGCCAGTGCTCTTAACCACTGAACCACCCCACAGAGAACAGCTTTTTGATTTGTTGGAAAGTTTCCACAGGAGTAATGTGTGACCTGAGCTGCTTCTGTGAGAGGCAGGATTCCTTCAGAAGGCCTAAGAACCTCATTCTCTTGAACCGTAATGAAAATAACACAAACTCTAATTCTGTATTTGAAATGGTTAGTTTCTTGCACACAGTGGACTGGGAATAATGTTATAGCAGTATTACCTAAGGGGATGTGAGCCGCCAAAGCTCACCTTCAAGAAAACCGTCAGTTCTCAACTGTCAGTGACTTCAGAGTTGGTGCCATGGTGGGGTCATTTTCATATCCAGCAATGGAAAAATCTTGCAGGAAACTTCCCCCCTGTATTTCTTCAGTTCATCTTACGTACTATTTCAGTTCTGTACTTGCATTTGTGAATAAGTAGTGTATTTTGTGTTTCTACTGTAGACTACCAGTAGGGTTCCGTGCTGTCTTAGTTCTTACAGCCTTCCCAAAGATCCAGAAAAGAGAGAATAGTGTCCCTCAAGCAAAGTTAAGGATGAGACAGGGCGAAAGTGGATCTGCATCATCCAAACACATTTATAAAATAATGAAGGAGAAAATGGAGACTAGAACTCAGATTTCTACAGCCCTTTGGACTGGTTGCTTATGAGGTAAAAGATGCCTACAGTGGTTTTGCTTGTCTGGCTTTATGAGAAACCAGTATAAAGAAAGTTATGACAAGCCCATTCCTAACAACTTGTTTCAGCTGTACCCGAAGTGAAAATAAAAAGATAGCTATGGCCTGTAGCTTCTGCTTTGCAGAGGTCACGCTATTGGTATACTGATCGGATCATGTGATTCCAAAAATTGGGTACCTGTTACTTCTCTTATTCACCCGTTGCTCTCCTACTTCCTCCATCTCTGTCTTGTCCCTGGTTGAGCAGGCAATTCAAGGGCAGGAGTCATCGGTTGTAATCCACCATTAGTATAAGGGGGCTGGAATTAGAATCCAGGATTCCTGGCTGTTGGTTTAGGATCTAGCTATTATTGAGAAGAAAGGAAGCACACTTTGAAACAAATCGGAGACAGGATTTTAGTCACATTTGAAAATATTAATAGAGATTAGTTTCCTAAGCTTTTTATTTTTTCAGTCCTGGGGATTGAATTTAGATTTTGGTTTTAGATTTATTCATTTTATTTTACGTGCATGAGTGTTTTCCCTGCATGGATGTTTGTGTACCACATGTATTCCTGGTATTTGCAGAGGTCAGAAGAGGGTGTTGAATCCCCTGGAACTGCAGTAACAGACATTGGTGTGTCACCACATGGGTGCTGGAAACTGAACCTGGGTCCTCTGCAAGAGCAGTCAGAACTCATAACTTCTGGGTCTTCTCTCCAGTTAAGTTAGATTAATTTAGAATTTTTTTTGATAAGCCTGACTGATTTTCATTCGTCTTTTAATTTCTACCAGTAATAAAAAACATTCCACATTGACTGTATAGAAGTTTTTCAGGACAACCACTCATGATTTTTTTGTACATTGACTTTGAGTTCTTTTTGCATCTTTCTAAAAATTGAGATAGATGGTAGTATATGATTTTACATCTGATGGAATGTCCATTGAATTATTGTGGCCAATTCATTGTAGCTTTCTTTGGTAGAGTCTATTTGGCATATTTAAAATATTTGTGTATTTTATTTGACATTTTCTCCAGTATCACCAATGTTGGCATATCGTCCTATTCAAACTGGCAGGGAGTAACAGAATGAATGAGAACCAATGTATAATGGGATTTTTCTAGTATTATGTTTGTTTTTTGTTTCATGGCTTTTTTCTCTCTCTCTTGACATAAGGTCTCACTCTATACCAGGTAGGCCTGGGACTTTAGTAATCTTTCCACCTTAGTCTTCTATTACTGGAAATACAAGCCACTATGATTGGTTGATTTCTAGCTTTTTGATAAGAATCGGCAGACACATCATTTGCCAAATGATACCCCACTCTCTCTCTATCTGCCCTTCTTTGAACACAGATTACATGTTTTTGTTACTAGTGTGGGCCACTGCCCTTGACCTGCTTGTCTTGCAGAGCCTGGTCAAATGGTTTCACAAATGGAGGGCTGGCCTCCCATTTGCTAGCAAAGGCTGGATCTGTCAGGACACTTGAGGCAAGATTCTCAGAGATAGACAGGGGCAGGGCAGGTTAAAACCTCAATATTTCCTACATTCTGCATAGCTGTCTGACATATTTAACCTTTCCAGGAGATGGGGCTCAGAATGAGGCTCCAGTATGCCCTGAGAAGACCACCCAACTCACCCTAGTGAGACCTTTCCCTGGTAGCAGCATCTGTCTTTTGAAGGGTTATATTCTCTTGCTGCAAGGACAATACAGAATCCACACACACAGACACTGGTTTCAGTATCTTACACACATGTGGTCGAGACAGAGGACACTGACTAGGAAGTCGGATTGCAAGGAAAGATTACCACACACTCAAGACACGAGGCTTATTAACGCGTGGCCCATGTTCTTTTAATTAACTTTCCTTTGCATGAAATAGTACCCTGAGTGCTTCCCCACCCCCAAAACACACATAGCTAACACCCCCAAAACGGACAATTAGATTAACAAACTTGCATAATTTCATGCCCCACCTCCACCTATTTCTATAAACTTTGCAGTATTTGCCGACAGCTTCCAACAAGCACTTGAGTGAAAAACACTATCACTGGTTGCAGGGGGTCTGGGGAAATTCTCTGTTGCTCTGTCATCTATGAAAATGGGCCAACTTGGCAGCATTTAGGGCTCATCAGCAATTGCAAATGATTCTTCAAATGTTTTGGGTTTGGTAAAACCTAAAACACATTTTTTTTGCCAAGCACTTTTTCTCCTTAATTTTTCAAACTGTGCATTTCAGGGAACATTTGATCCATATGGTTTTGATTCATTTACTCTTATATCACTGAGGGTTTTTTTTCCCCCTATGGAGCCATTTGATATGCAAGAAGCTTTCCTACACTCGGTTTAAAGCCTCCTCCTTCTTAAAAGGA